ACAGATCTTATCAGGTAACATTCTTTGGAGAATAACATCAAAATAAGTGTTAAGCATTGATATAATCCTAATATTTATAATCTCAAACAGTCATTAAAAAGTATATTAAGAGTATGGGTGTGGGTGTGGGTGTGGGCCTTAGTTGAATACATGATTTCATCCACAATCAACACATCCTCAAAGTAATGAAACATCACAAATAAATATCGCCAAATCTTATTATTAACAAGAATCTAATTTCAATAGTATTAGGAATTATTCAAAAGTACAGCCAGATTGTATTCTAATATCTAGTTTGTTTGACAATATATTTTTATATTCGATATTAATATCGTGAGATATTTGAATGTATATGCAAATAATTTGTTTAGTTTATTTTAAAGACACAGTTTCTGTTCTACAGATTTGATAACGTCTGAAGTATTTGTATATATATGTTGTCGTCAACATGAGACGAGAAATTATATTTTGCATGCTCATACTTTTAAGATAAAAGATAAGTTAGTGGGTATTTTGTTATATAAATTGCATGTGCTTTAGAATGAAAATAACCATATACGAAATAGAATTTAAGAAAGATTTGGATTTTGTCGTACCTATTTAAGTATCATTTTTCACCAATTTTTTCAATGTGAAGTGCTATAAAATATCGTATTTATACGATAGAGTAACCGTTTAGTCTAGGACTTTTAAATTTATTCTAAATTTTTAGATAAATGTCAGACTCAACAGTTCTCTGTTTGCCTGTTGAACTTCTTCATCGCATCTTTGATTACCTCGATGCGCACACCATTGTTCTTTCAATCCGTTCGGTTTGCAGACAACTTCATGCAGCTGTCAGCTCCTATAATCGTTTTCATCTTAAGTTCGGTTCAAGTATCAACTCAAGTTCATTGACAAATTCTTCCTTTGAAAATATTTTTCATTTCGTTCAACCTTTTAACGTCATCTCACTTATATTTTATGGTGCCAATGGTCACGAATGGTCCATTAAGTTTTTTCTCTCAAACGTCGACATTAGCCAATTCACCAGACTTCGTTCAGTGACCCTTTTTGAAGTCAACTGCAATCAAATGAATGAATTTTTTCAGCTTCTTACTATTAATTCTCTAATCTCACTAACAGTGAATATGTGTGAGCGAGTGGGCAATAGAGCTTTGTCAATTATCTTTCCAGTTGTCGTTCAAACTAATCTTCAGAAACTACGTTTAAATGATCTAGATTATACACGTAATCAAATAGCATGGCCTATTCAAAGTGCATTAGAGCAACTGACGATCAGAGATTGTTCTTATGACCAATATCGTATTATTCTCTGTAACTCACTCCGTTTAAGAACACTTGTTATTAGAAATTGTATTATGCACAATACAGATCAAACGTTTTGGCCATATGCACTTACAACATCCAATTCTACAAAAACACAGTGTACACTCAGTGATTCCACAGGTACAGGATTAAATATGCATCGTTAAACACCATCTATCTTTTCGTAGATTTAGCATTTCTTTTCAATTACATAAGGCTCGGACTAGGCTCAAAGTCTGACCGAAATACTACTTGAATAGAAGCTTCAGCTCCCTTTGAGTGTACCGCACTGTAAAATGGGCTCTTTAGGTCATTATAATAACGGTAAGGAAATAGATATAACTAGTTGAATTGATCTGAGTCTTACGGGATCAAAAAAAATGTAGAATGACTCATGCCAGTATAATTTGATCGTTTAGATTAGGGATTGGATCGGTTCAGTACAGTATGGTTTCGGTTCGATTAAAGTTTTCAAAAATATGAAACGATCTAATCTTTGGTTGAGATCACTACCACTAATGAGGAAACTATCCCAACCGATACCCAACGTTTAAGCTTATGGCAGGCTCACAAAGAGATTTCATTGAAACTTGGACAAGTCTAAAAGGGTTTACTCCCATGGATCTTTTCAGTCAAGTTACGATCTGAGTAAATTATACCAATGGTACTCGCCATTTGGGATAGTTTTCACTTAAAAAAAATAAATCTATCGACTTCAACTCTGCTCTATTTGACTATGTTATACTTACGTATATACTCTCTATACAGAGCGTGAATTATTCGTTCAATTAAAACTAAGATCATTTTATGCAATACAGTAGTCATAGATTGATCAAAGAGGTGAGATACGAAGACATATCGAAGAAAAACATTTTTACTTTCCCTCGACTTTACGTGGTCTTTTTCTAGTTCATCATATTCTCCAATATTTTTAGTTTTCAATCAAATTCAGGTTTAGTAGTAAAAAATGAAGTGTACTCAGTTTTTGACTTTTTGTCAAGCTTTTTTATACAAACAATTAAACACAGTTTAAAGAAAGTTCGATTATCTGTATCAACAACTTGTAAACCTCGGTTTTTTAAAAATATGTTAGAAGATAAAAAATCAACTATTTAAATATTATATATTCTATGTTTTGATTTAACAGTGTATCCGCAATTGGTTTCATTGACTATTGGAGACTGCAGACTATCGACCCAAAAGCTCGAATGCCTTTTTCCATTGACGCCGTCACTTGGTCATTTGAAACTGATTGCATCTAGATCGACACTTGATTCGATATTCGATGGTTCCTATTGGGAACAATTCATTCAAAAGAAACTACTTTTACTGAATAAGTTTGAATTTTCTCTCACTTGTACTAGCAAGAAATTGAATGACACTACTACTCTGGATTCACTTATCTTACCATTTCAAAGTCCGTTCTGGCTCAACAACAAAAATTGGTTTGTTACTTGTGGTTATATTTCACGAGAATCGAAAATTATACTTTATACAACACCACTCTGTATAGAGGTTGATGCCACAACTAGATCTTCTGTATTTGAAGTATTGTTAGCAAACCCTAAATGTCGCTTAATTTTGCACAGGAGTCACGATGAAAGCTGTAGTAGCAAAGGAGAGGTAAGTCTAATACAATCTTCTTATACGTATAGGAATGATCATATACGTTTTAGCTAAGGAAATTCACATTTTTGTTATATCTCACAATTTTCTCTGATGAGATATTTTTGTAGAGTAGAATATCTACTTTTAGAATCTTACTTAAACACATGTGCAATATAGGCGTTTCATCAAGTGCACTTACATTCTTAGTCAAATAGAATAAAAAAATTATATCATTTCACTTACACAAAAAAATACGAATAGACCTTAATTATATTTTATACAAGATTATATAGGTGACAATCTTTTGTGACGAGTCTCAGTACCAATTCCATCTATGATTCTTCACTCTCCCTTTGCATTTCATGATGTGTATTGTTATGTTTTCACACAGGCATCCTCTGAATTAATTATTTCCCGCAATCAAATTGGAGATAATTTGATACAATATGTAGCTGTGGCGCTACTAAACTACAAAGTGACGTATTTTTCAGATTCATTACACTGACATTCATGTTTTACTTATCATTCAGACATTAACCACAGTTGATCTTTCACATAACGAGATTGGCGACATTGGAGCACAGCATTTGGGTAACACATTACAAAAACATCAAGTTAGATATTTCTTAGACTCATTTAAATTATACTTATTTCCTACTCTATACATAGACGCTTACTACTCTGGACCTTTCCCACAATCAAATCGATAACGATGGAATACAATATCTTTACGAGGTCTTCAAAGAAAACAAAGTAAACCTTCACCACTTCTCCTTTGTCTTAAGCATCGCCATTATTTCGCATAGACACTTATCAAAGTGAACCTCAAAGAAAATCCTGGTAGCTATTGTACAGCAGTGAGTGCAGCAATTCAAATACGAAATGATGAAGTAATTCGTTTCTTCTAGATTCTTTCTCATAATTTTTTACTTTTTCTACAGACAATCACTAAAATGAATCTTTGTTGGGAGAGGATCGATGACATTGGGATGAAATTTTTGGCTGATGCACTAGTCAATAATGAAGTAATATCATTTC